GTATTAGATGTTTGGATGGACCATAAAACTCTGAAATCTTGATTTTGGAAATTTTTAAGTTGAGCCATAATAAGAACAACTGTAGTAGTAAACCAGTGTTTTCTGGATTCTTAATTGAATTGTTACCTCAGTCATCTACAGCACTTATTTACAGTCAAGCAAAATAAGAAGTTATCCTAACAGTTAGTGTTTTGTCTCTTTTTTAAATGCCGTACAAATCAAGTTTTAGGTAATTTGGAAAAAGGTATTTCAGATTAAAGACCAGCATTTCTAGATGTTCAAGTTTGCTTATGTTTCAATATTTTTCATGATTACTTTTTTAATTTTAACTTTAACTCTATAAATACTTCTAACATTCTGGCTTCTTTGCAATTTTTGGGTTATAAAGCAACTTACAGCATACCAGATTTTCATCTCAGAATTGAGCTCTATTTTCAAACCATGTCAGACAAAACCTCAGATATCATAACTCTCTTCCATCTTCACATCCTCTTGTGAATACAGTTCACAAAGTAGGGACACAGAATCCCTTCTAGTACCATGATTAACTATTAAGTTTCTTCTGGTTCATAAAAGTCATGTTTCTTTAGAAAGAAAAATCAATGTTGAGTCTTATAAGAGGGTACCATTAAAATTTCTTCCAAAATACTGTGTAAATATTACAGTCTCAGAGAATAATCAAACATCCAGTTCCAGAGAAATTGGACAGATTAGCTAGGTGGAAAACTATTCGTCCAAGGACTAAGGTTTTGTGCTGTTTTTTACTGATTAATTTTAACGCTGTCAATTTGATAAATGACAAGAGTTTGCTAATTTTTCACATCTGGGGAAAATAAGGCCTATGTTGTGCAAATGGTTTGCCATAGATTCAGTCACTGGAAAAATCCTGATCATAACTTGGAGGGATTCTTAGCCTGCAGCACTGCATACGGTCCAACACACTTGGCTGGCATCAGCAATCTGAAATAAATAGTGAGGTGCCACACATCATACAACACATATCTTAATGATGAATTTTGCAGATAAAATGGCTCTGGCCCTTCACTCTGCCCACTCCTGCAGGAGAATGAAGCACTATTATGTTTGAACACAGGATGCTTTCCAGCTCATTTGTTCGGTACTTTGGTAAAGCAGCTACATCCAATTACTGTGTCTTCCACTGTTTCTCCCTTCCCACAGTTCTTCTGTACTTGCATATGTTTTTTTTTTCTTTTTCCTTCTGCTAGCTGAAGACAACACAAGGTAAATTTTCCCTTTCATAAAACAGACATCTCTCCAGTCAGTCAAGAGGTTCAGATTCATTCAGATGAGCTGAATGTAGTTCTCCTTTACCTGTTTTTTTGTACCCTTGCAAATTTTGTAACCAAGACAGGTCTAAGAGAATTTGTTAAACAGAAGAATTCAGATTCTGGCAGCTGAGAAGACACTACTCTTTTCTTTGCAAATGCTAATTTTTTTGATCCAGAATGGTTATGATCAGGACACTAAGCAGATCTGATCCCCCTGCACTGAGTTGTTCATCCTTGCCATTATCAACTGCACAGTAATTCACTTTTGTGACCCTTAACATCCTGGCTGTGGTCCAGGCGGTACTGTTAATACATTTAACATGCAAATTCAAAAATATACCCCATTTATCTGGGTACTCTATTCTTTATTGGCTGTCATGATGGTATGTGTTGTTGCTATGCATGGTTAAATGTTGAGGGACTGCTCAGCATTTTTGTGGATGTTGCTATTTTCTGTGCTGCATTTTCTGCTATAGAAACATCTAGATTCATAATTCCCAAACTTGTGAAAGCCAAGCCTTTATATCATCCTAAGGAAATAAAGCCAGTCACACATATCCTGACTCCCACAAGACAGAAAAAAGACTTATTTTTGCATAATCTGTTTCTTGGAACTTCACATCCCCCAGTGCAAGATACCTTTGTTTTTGTAGTTTCTGGTATCTGTCAATAACCTGCCATTATAGAAAGCCATGTCACCCTGAGTAGAGGGGTAAAAATATTCTTAGAAGCTGAGATGGTATGAGTGTAATGCAATTCTTCAAACTTTGAAAGTCTAACGTGGAAAGGTCATTCTGGTGCTGAGTGCCACTGAGAAGAGGACATTCTTTGTGTTGAATGTCTTCCTTGTCCTACTGTAATGTATTCATCTGTATTTATATAATAATGCCATAGGCTACTTGGCTGTTTGATCCCAGCAGCAAGGAAATCAATTTGCTCATTTTTCTCTCAGAAAAAACAATCTAAAATCTTGGGAATCATCATTATAATATTTAGACAAAATAACTTGTCAAGAGCAGAGTGGATGTCTGGACTAGTCAGAAATTCCTTACAGAGAAGGTAATCAGGCATTGGAATGGGTTGTCCAGGGAAGTGGTGGATTCTCTGTCTCTGGAGGTGTTTAAGAACAGACTGGATGTGGCACTTAGTGCCATAGTCTAGTAACTGTGGTGGTAGTGGATCAAGGGCTGGGCTTGATAATCTCAGAGGTCCTTTCCAAGCCAGCTGATTCTGTGATTCTATGATTCCACAACTCTCCTTCCAGTACCTTCCTGAGCCTGGGGAAATGCATGACTCAACTCCTGGGGTTGTCTATGCCATTAAGCATTACTTTGAGCAAGGAGAAGACAAGAAGGCATGCCTGCTGGTCTCAGTTCTGACTCTGCTCCCATTTGCTCAGTTTGCTGTAGTGTTCAATGAAGGGCAGCCTATTCTTTTCTGCCTTTGAAACAGTGACTGAAGAAACTTGCTCACCAGTGCCATGACAATGATTATTTCAAAATTTAGTTAGAAGGGCTGAGCAAGCCTCACATGTTGCTGGCAGGAAACCAACCAGACTGGCCTTGTGCAGTCTCACAGGTTAAAAAGTTCTTTATTTTGCTCAAGTTAGTGATGTTTTGCTCAAGCAGTAGTGATATGCTCAGTGGGTTTTTTGGGTCTAAAATCTTGCTTACAAACCACTTGAAGGGTCCACGACACATGAACTGATGATATTTTCTTAGTCCAAGTCACCAAACAATTCACAGAAAAATACCTCATTTTGGTTTCACACAGAGAAGAGTCAAAACCAAGAATAGAGACAAATAAAACTCTTCTAGTACAAAGCCTGGTTAGGAGAAGAACCAGGCAATAGGAATGCTTCTGTACACTTTACCTGAACTGTGCAAATTGACCAATGCTCTATCAAAAAGTAAGGTGATATTTGCCTTTGGCACGAATGATATCTTCATTTCAAGGTTTATCTTGCAATTATATGTAAACATTAAAAATGTTGTAGCAAGGACTGCTAAGCCCCCCAGATAGTTCCAAATTAGAAATGAATTTTCAGGGACCCTTTGAGAACTGTTTGTTTCCCCATCTGAGTGAGATTGTTGTTCTCCCTCATTCACATTAAGGAAAGATAAAATGAGATGTTCACTGACAAAAGAAAGTGTATCTTGTAGTAATACTATTTTAAAAGTAACCTTTATTTTCAGTTTGCCTGCAATCCCTAATTCAAAATACTATATCTTAAGCAAATTTGGTTCAGCAATGCTGTGATTATTATAGTTCAGGATTTTAAGAAGTGAGAGAAAAGGTTCCTGGGCATCCAGATCTAACTGTTCATACTGTCACGTGCTAGAAAGGTCCCTGGAGAAGATTTGGCTCGTGCACTCTCCCAGACAATCACTCAGATGTGCAGGGACCACAAGATTCTCTCAGTATCTAGCTGAGATGAATCTTCCCTGTGGAAAGGATGAGGAAACTCAGCAGTACAGATGTACACCAGTCTGTAGCAGTTCTCCTCAGTGCTAAAGAGGGTACTGGCATAATTAATTTATGAGCATGAGGAGCAAAATCCCTATATCTACACACATAGCTACTTTTTTTTTTCCACTTTTTTTTTTCCTTTTCTCCAGGGTAGATAAGATTATTGCTGCATACAGGCTTCATCTGCTCTTACATACAAGATTTAAAATTCAGAATAACAAGACAGAAATCAGTGCAACTAATCCTGATGGCCCAGTGGCAAAAGAGATCAGAGACATGAAGGAATTTTCTGTGTTTTTTTCTTAAACTAGAGTCTAAATCCATAATTGTTGAGGATCACTTTACCTGTGAAGCACCTAAACACCTGACCAATCCCCTCAAATCTCCCAGTTTCTTCACAGTGCTCTTCTATCTAGACCTTTAGATTCAGTAACAGTTTATTAAGTAAAAGAAGACTGCAGGCAACATTTCTGTGGTTAGTATTTGGAGTGCACTTGATTGCATTAAGACTTGTATATGGTGTGTTACATAAGCAGAAAATGATTAAGACACATTTGTTGAACTGTAAAACTGTTGTTCTTACCAATAATAACAGCCACCGTTATGCATGCAAAATGCAATCAGCCGCTGTGCTTCAGAGTGTCAGCTGATTGCTTCTGCTGCTGAAGGTATGGAGGGGAGGGTCAGAAAGCAATTCCTTGTCCTTAAGTATTACCATAATTTAAGGGCTCAAGAAAGATGGACGTGATGAACAGCTGGTCTTACAAGAGAATGGCAAACATTGCTCAGATCCAGGTTAGGTTTGCCTTGGTGCTTTGTGTGGGTCATTCGCACCTATAAGGATTCTCTTTTCTCTTTGTACTTGCTGTACCATGAAAGATCATTTAGAAAACCGGGCTTGCCTTCAAAAGGCCAGTCTGATGTTTCCCCATTCACTATTACCCTTTGTGCTTGACCCACAAGCCAATTACTCACCCACACATGATGTGTTTATCCAGCTGTGTGCTGGACATTCTGTCCAGAAGGATACTATGAGGGACAGTATTGAAAGCTTTACTGCAATCTAAAAATCAACTGGCTTCTCTTGATCAGCTAGGTGGGTTACCTTGTCATAAAAAGAAATAAGGTTTGATAACCAGGACTTTCTTCTCATGAAGCCATGCTGGCTGTGACCAATGACTGTGTTATCTCTAAGGTGTTTTTCAATACTTCCCAGAATAATCTTCTCCATAACTTTTCCAGGCACTGAAGTGAGACTGAGAAGCCTGTAGTTCCTGGGGTCCTGCTTCTTGATCTTCCTGAAAACTGGAACCATGTTCACCAACTTCCAGTCAGCTGGGATCTCTCTGGATTCCCACAATCGTTAGAAAATCATCAAGAGAGGTACTGTGATGACATCTGCTAGCTCTTTGAGAATTCTTGGATGAAACCCATGAGATCCCACATCCTAAGAGTGTACTCTGTCTTCCTATAAGACTAACCCTTGTAATAATATCAGGTAGGTCCACATGCCCACCCTGCTACCCACCTGCTTCTCCAGGACTTGTCCAAGCCAAGCACCGAGGCAGGTCAGTCAGCATTTTTATTTCTCTGTGGACCATGAAGATAGTCACAGTTGTACTCTCACACACACCAGCACCAAGCGAGCTTCTGCAGCCTAACTCCAACTTTGTGCCAGAAAAAGAGGGAGCAGATTAAGGCCGAGCAACTGTCTGTGAGTGATTAGAAGCAAATGGGATTTGGCAAACACTGAGTTGGCAGGAGGTATCAGAGAGCAGCGCTTCATCAGTGGGTTCCCCATGGTGCTTTGAAGGGTCATTGTGTGTACTGGCGGGATTCTCATGTTTTCTTGCTTCTCCTGTCCCAGAGGCATTTTGGGGAGGAAGATTATTCTCTGCCACATAATCACTTCACCCCTCCCTCTCCCCACAGCACACCCTTCCTTCACAGGTTTGTTTATCATGCCAAGCCTTGATAGAGGGTTTTGCTGTGCTGTTTCTCCTCTGCCCTCCTTTCTCTCCTTACACTAATTTTTGTTGCAGAAGCAGAGCCTCAAGAGATTTTTGATCAGTGAAATACTCAGCAATTCATGAATTGCTTCTGCATTTAATAGGATGCTAGGAAGGAACTGAGTGAATGCTAATGGAGTGCTGGAGGAGGAGGTGCTGCTTCAGGTTTATCCTCACAGACATCTTAGGCACTGACAGAAAAAGTCTATAATTCATTACTGTGATAGATGTACCTTCCTTTACTGAAAAAAACAGGTAGATGCTCAGGAAACTATGCAGTCTGGGCTGGTTCAGCCTTTTCTGACCATTTTATTCACACTGTAACTGACCTAAGCAAATTCCTCTTGCTATCTAGGCAAGGATGTTTGTCATATTGGGGCTGTATGGTGCATCTGGAGACTATCAGATCAGACATACAACCAGGGATTTGAACTCCCTCTAAATCACTATATTCCATGCATCTTAGGAGCTAGAAATGTCTAAAGGAATTATCTCAGTCAGAAAAAAATATATTAGCATGAGGGCTTGGGTGAAATTTGAGTCATTTGTTTCTGAGTTTTGTTGAATTATTGATGGTTGTAGCTGTTTTCAACATCAGCAGAGATAAAGTTTTCAGTGGAGAGTGAGATAAGGGTCAATGAGAGGAATTACGTGTATGGGAGGAAAAATAAAAACAACAAACAACATTCAGGCTGCAAAGTGCCTGTTCATCAGGCTAGAGTAGAAGAGAAGAATGTGACAGCATAAAATGAAGTTTGATTTCAAAAGGCTGAAATGGCTTCAAGAAGGCAACAGGATTTTGCAGCAATGGGGAATGTAGTTCCTCCAGACAGAAATACAGGCCACCATAGAGCCATGGGGACTTCAGTCTGCAAGTGCATCACAAAGGTGTGGTGTGGTCTCCATGGCAGTCAACTGAAAGATTTCCACAGCTCCCCAGATTTCTCCTCCATCTCCTGGAGCCTGACTTTGCTGACTGAGGCTGTCCTGCGTCAGGATGTTGGAGGTGGAGTTGTGCATACCTGACCTGACTGCTAAATACGTTTGCATTACTGTTCCTCTATGATGCAAGTGGATAAGTTGTCCATGGGCGTGGGTGTGAATATGCACTTAATTCTACTAACAAAATTCCAGGATTTGTCAATCAATGTTTGAGGAGTTTATCTTGTTCATACATTAACTGTCTGGTGAATTATCTGAGTCGGGTTTTGCATGCTTCAGCTGCAGATGGCAAACACATTGAGCAAATTCCTAATGAACTGATTACTCAGCTTAGCATTTAAACTGCCACATTTAACATCCTTCAACCCTCATAAACATATTGAACTACTAAAGGGATTACGGCTGCCAGGTTTGCTGTGTCATTCCTATAAATTAACCTAGGAATTTAATAAAATATATGACCAGAAACAAGAATAACAAAAGGATTTGCTGACATGATAAGTATTTAACTCAGAGAAAAAAAATTGTACTGAGAGTTCATTTTCAAGGAGGTTTACTGTAAGCAAATGCAAAGGACACAGGTGTAATACTTCCCTTCAATACATGTGCAAAGTTATATACTGTGTTTGGCATTTTTAGCAATCATTTTCACATTATCACATGGGCTTTTTCAAATTTCAGAAGTCATCAGTGAGGGAAAAACTGGTGGAGTATTTGAAACCAACAGTAAAAATTTCACGGGCTCTGTGTATTTCAAACCTTACTGTTGATGTTTACATCCATAGGAAAAAAAAAAAAAGGGTTGATCAGATTCCATCAGTTGAAATCTCCTGCACAAACCCCAAATTTACCTACAGCTATAGAGGCAACGCCTTCCAGGGACGACTGTTTTCACAGGAATTGAGGACACACAGTTGCTCTTTTAGATAATGAGATTTTTCCCATATTGAGACTGGACATTCTTGATTTTAAGTGGCTCCAGGACTTGATGTGACTCAGGTCTGTACAGAAAATCAGCACAAATTCTGTTTACTGGGAGCAAAGCACAAAGTGATTTTGGTTCATGGCTGTTAAAGAAGGTCCTCACACTCTGGACGTCAGGGTTGTGATCAAAGCTGAAAAGGTATTGTAAGTGTGTTCACTGATCTCTCAATTGTCAGGATGACATCTCCACAAGCCATTTATATAGCCCAGTAAAGGTGTATTTAGGTATACTTTTCTCTCCCTTCTGGAGCTCTTAGGTGACACCTTAGGTGACACCTCAGGTGACACCTCACTAGATTTTACCAAAGAGAAGGATAGGGGTTAAATATTATAGGAAAGGACCTTCAGTTCCCACTATATGCCATAACTATCTACCCCAAATCCAATCTACACTACCATCCTCCATTACTCTCTGTTTAAGCTTCAAGACGAGTTATGGCAATGCAAATTAATTGTTGCAGACGTCTCTTAACTTTTGGAACACTTTGTCCCCTTATAATTTATACAAATTTGTTGTTTCAGGGCACAGATTCATTGGTTTTAATGGTAGACAGAAGATGTCAGCACTTATAGAAATAGAATCACCAAATGCCATGCTGAATGATCAGAAAATGTTAAAACTGCCATGAGCATTCACAAAAATCTTTGTTAGGAAAGTTGCTGAACAGAACCTAAGAACTCACTGGCACATGCATAACTTGCACACGGGTATCCAGAACATTATTTAACTCTTCAGAACTAGGCAAGCACACACATGATGCTTATGCTGTTTCACAGAAGGTTACCGGGAAAGATAAGTAACTCATAGTGCAGTTGTTCACTGAATTAGCAGCTCTTCTGTAAGATTTCATCATGGCAAATCCCATTTATGTCCCATGATAAAGTGGTTTTCCTGTTAGCAAGCAGTATAATGAAAAGATATTTTTTTTTCATATACTTTTTCTTCTTCATTGCCTTTGCCATCCCAGCTCCCCTTATAATGTCCTTGTCTCTATATTATGTGTATATTTTTGTGAGCAAAAGGCAGGATGTTCTTTGGACATTAAAACTCTAGAAAGCATCCACAAGACCTAGTACACTGAATCTTAGCCTAGGCACAAAATTTCTTTGTGAAAGAGTTAATATGAATTAAATATTAAGTTCTCTGTTTGTGTCCATTAGAACTTATTTGAATCTTAATGAAAATTAGAGAGTTAACAGATGTTTCACTAGTATTTATTGTAACTGTTCCTTTCATTCCATAATGCATAAATTGTGAAAATAAATGGAAATTAATCAAAGTTAGAAACATGGGTCTGCAAAAGAATTTGTGTTGCTTGATAAGATGGCCCCTGTGCCTGCCAGACATTGATCATGAACTCCCTGCTTTGTGTGGCATTCTAGCCAGAAGATAACTATTATCAGGGCGCTGCATGAAGTTTATCAGGTGGTTGCACGAAATGGCTAAATGACTAGTTATAGATGTTACTGACTCTGCTCCTGCATCCTCCTCTCCTGAGAGGAGCCATTTCCTCTGGAAAGCTCCTTCCTGCAAAGTATGATTATTTCTTATTTCTACAGTGTTATACACACCATTAATCTTCCTTCTCTTCCTAGTTATTGCTGTCACCTCTTTTCATAGCCAGAAGGGACTTAGAACTGCCAAACAAAAAAACTCCTGTCCTGTAATCTGCTGACAGTACAACATATCTGTCTCTAGCAAGGAAGCTTCAGGGGCTGTGATCCCTTATGGACATCAATTGAGGAAGAACGTTGAGAGTAAGAAATTTCCTCCTAACTCGCCAGATAGGAAGGTGTAGAAGAAACAAAAACTCACAGAGATAGAAGTAGCTACTATCTGTAGTGGAAGTAGTTCTTTGCATGTTGAGTTGCTGGGTACACTTTTAGCCTTGCCTCATGGATTCAGAGATTTATTTGAAGTTTCCAAGGGATGTCAAGAATAGGTCTAAAAGTTGTGAGAGCCTGGGGTGGGTGGCAGAAGGCAGAAACTTTCACCCAGCCTCTAACTATACTTTTAATTTCTCCAAATACTCCCAACAGAGAGAGAAGATTCATTAATATGTCATGAATGAAAAGCAATAATCATCTGGGAGGCAAGAATAGTAATATCATGCTGTATGGTGTAAAATGTTGGCTAAAAGTAGGTAGTGTAGAGACCAAGTTAAAGTACTCTGAGACTGGCCAGGAAATACAGCTGTTGAAGGAAGCAGAAAATGAGATGCACCTTGTTAGATACAATTCAGAAAAGTGTATAGGGGTCAACAGTCACAGCCAGTCCCATCAAAGGGAAGCTCTCAGTGTGATCTGGAGCAGAAAGTAGCATTTCAGTGTCTTTAAACTGGAAGGTATTTTCCCTACTCTTGGCATACATTATTTCACTGTCCAGTGTCCTGCATATGTGTGTGTTGATCCAGCTTCTGAAATGTGTATTGTCTTCCAGGGCTTTGT